GTGGTGGGTTCAAACCCAGCCCCAGCCAAAAACAAACAAAAGGACAAAATGGTGACAAGAGAAAGGATACAGAAGAGCTTGAGGATTAGATCACATGGGTTAGCCATGAAAATATTTAGATAACAGTGAACCAAGAAACAGAAACAGCAAAGGGCCTTGAGACAGAAATGAGGCTAGTATGGGTAGAGTACAAGCAAAGGAAGTATGAAAAGATCACAAAAGGAACCAAATCATAGCAACAGCTTGATAGAATGGGAAGCCATAAAGTTTCTAACATGGAAATCACCTGATCTCTTCAAATCCTAACCCTTCCTACTGTGTAGCAGATGGATAGGACAAGGGCTAGGTGAGGGAGGGAGGGAGGAAGGGAGGGGCAAGAAGGAACCATTAGGAAGGCACTGCCATCATCTAAGGGAGAAATAAAGGCAGCCTCGCCTAGGGTGGAAACAATGGAAACAAGACAGAGAGTGAGTAGGAAGAGCCCAAACCACTTACATGGAGGCTCAATCTACAGATTAGAGGCAGTGACTTCCATGCCTTTCAGTTTGAATGAGTATAGGCAGTTTCAGTTACTGGAATGAGGAACAAGTTGAGGGAGAAAGAGTTAATTGAAAAATCAAGATTTATGTTAGATAGGCTATGAGAGGCATTATTGAAGGTTAAAGTAAAGCACTCACAAAGTGCTCAGAGAGGCAAGTTGGAAAGACAATTTAGAAGGTTATCAGGAGATACCGAATGCCATAATACTAGGCAATTTTCTTCCTTTGGAGAGAGTAGAGCTAGAAAGTATAGCCAGATCTGAGGTCAAGAAGAAAAGAACTGTTAAATATAGGAACAGTATAGTAAGGTAGAAAGAAAATCAGGAATGTGGTTTTATAGAAGAAAAAAAAGAAAAAAACATATATATATAAAACAAAGTACTGCTGAGAGTTTATTAAGATGAGGAAGTGACCACTGGATTATAATCATGCAGGACATTAGAAACTTGGCAAACACAATTTCAGTAGATACTTGAACTTTTCCTTAAATTCTGCCTCAGGAATCTACTATTACAAAGTGTGGTAGGCAGACTAAGGGCCCCCAAAGGTGTCTATATCCTAATGTCTGGAACCAACAAATGTTATCTTA